TTAGACGCAAAAAATTTGGGGATATCATTTTCCATTTTCGTAAATATTTTAAATCTTTATTATTAAATATCTCAACAATTAAATGCTTAACTTTCTGCGAAGCAAAATTCACACTTGAAGTACGCAAAAAAATAATTTTTCCTTTACTTCTATTTGTCTAAATCATGTATTTTTTGTAATTACGTATTTTATCTCGTTAATAAAAAAAAAAAAAAAAAATCAAGTCTGGAGAATATCGGTTGCTGCGGGTGCTGCAGAATTTCCCCTTGCAACTCCTGCAGTTTTCGCAGCGTCTGTTGAGCGACGTGTGGCCTAGCATTGTCGTGGTGGAAGATGACGCCTTTTCGATTGGCCAAAATCGGACGTTTTTCTCGAATAGCTGCAGCGAGTCTAGTTAGTTGCTCACAGTACTTGTCCGCCGTGATTGTTTCGCCGCGTCGGAGCAGCTCAAAGTAAATAATTCCCTTGCGTTCCCACCAAACACACAGCAACACCTTCATCGGATGCAAGCCAGCCTTTGCTACGGGTTCTGCTCCTTCAGCTGCTGTTTTCCATGTCCTCTTTCGCTGTACGTTTTTGTAGAGAATCCACTTTTCATCGCCTGTTACCATTCGATCTAAAAAAGGCTCTTTTTTGTTACGCTCGAGAAGAGAAAGAGCCACAGTCATACGGTTTAGCTTATTCCTTTCAGTCAGGAGATGCGGCACCCATGTATCAAGCTTGGAAACGTATCCAAGCTTTTTTAAATTACGAAAAGCGGTTTAATTATCGATGTTCAGCCTCTTAGCAATATCCTCAGTTGTAATCCTTGGGTTTTTTTCCACTAAGGCATGCACAATGTCATTATCAATGCCAGAAGGCCGTCCAGAGCGGGGTTGATCCTCCATGTTGAAATCACCATTTCGAAATCTGCCAAACCACTTTTTGACTGTTCGGAGAGCAGGAGCGCGGTCCAAATAAACGGTTTGAATATTTTTTTGTGCAGTCCCAACACTCACGCCTTTCCGAAATTTATATAACATTACATGCCGCAAATGCACCTTTTCGTTCTCCATTTTTAATGATTTTTCTTATGCACAAATGGACTTATCTGAACAATGTCTGACGCTAAATTGACATAAGACAACGTCATCTATTCGGTGTAAGCAACAATTACCACACGAAAACAATAGAACTCCGCCATGCAGTAACTTAATGCCATCTATGAAAATCGGGCACGAACTTATGCAATCATCCAATACATTTAACGCGCGCCTAATACATACATATGACGTACATATGGTGCTCCCTCGCTCGTCGTTGAACGTAGTCGTGACGTTATCCGTTTATTATGTGCACGGTGATAAGACTTTGCCCACTATATCGCACGCGTAATCGTTTGGACTTATAAAACTTACAATGCGGCTATATTTATGAGGAACGATGTAGTGTTTGCGAGGCTATACTGATTAAATGTGGTTATTAATATGGGTATTATATTTTATAAAATTTATTTTATACAAGTGTATTATATACATATAATAACAATATATTAACAACTATTCCAAATTCGATATTTGACGTTCTTATAACTGACGTTTCTTTTTTTTATTATTAGTAGTATATTTATTTTAAGAACATATTACATAAAAGATCCCGTATTAACAACAAACTATTCTATTATCTAACGCTCGTAGGCGGCGAAGCGGCATTTTTTAATTAATTTGTTCATTATCTTCATTGAAATTCCAGGGAGATGTATTTCCTTGCGGCTCGGGTCCGTATAAGCGTGCGAATCAGTTTATTTATAACTATGATACGAATGGGCGAGATTCTTCCTTCGTCGCCACCACGGCTACACGTTATCAACTGATACGCGAAACGCAATATAATCCCGTGGGTGCGAGTATCGTTAAAAATATCTCCATTTGTGCGACGCAACATGACTGTTGCATTACGTTACTTTGACGCACTCACATTTGTTACGTTTCACTATATTTTATCATTTCTGTATATGAAATGTCTCCAAAAACACGTATACATTTTCATGAAAGCATAGATAGATTTTCGAAAGGAAATAGCTAACAAATGTGCAAATGTCTTTCGAAATATAAACGCGAAGGAGAATTGGTGAGAATCAATGTTATAATTCTTTTAGCAAATTAAATTTAAATTCTTTTAATATAAATAGTTAAAAAAAAAAATTGTGTTCTTCCGAATTTAGTTGTTTTAGTTAATTAACAGTTTAGTTAATTTAACAGTATTTGGCGCAATCTTAATAGAGATACGTCCATCAAGTATTTATCGTAAATTATTTGAATATCATTTTTCTTTCAATATATTACGAGATTAGAATAGTTATATTTGGATAATGCGATCGAGAATAGATTTTGGTCATCAAATGATTTAATTGGGTCGCGTTCAATCAAATTTTCCACTAATTGTAAGGAGAGAGATATACTTCCAGAAGAAGTACTTTTCCAAATGCAAACACTCTGTATATGAGACTATCGCAGCGAGGCGTAAATTTCGCAATTGTATGGGATAAGCGTAATTCGAGATGACAGCTATCTCACGCCCGTGCTTTTGTTGCACCCACCTAACGGCTCCGCACACGTGCATCTCTCACGACGACGCATCTTGTTGTCATTCGCGCGCGCGTCGCGAATAGAGAGAAAGAGAGTTATTTGTGTTCCATTGTGATGCGAGTTCATTCTCCTTTTGCCGCGGCTTCGCGTGCCAATGAATGGGGAACTGCTACTTGCGTGTCGCGGCGATATATCGCGCCGTGAGTGTCATCGCCGTAAAAAAAGATCGTTATCTCGGATCGAGTGTCGACGTTCTAGAGTTACTTGGCGGATAATAAGCGTCATGATTTTAATCTCGTGTTAATTTATATTATTATCGTTTTCGATTTTACTATTTCGATGTCATATCGATACATAATATAAATTATACGACGATAAATTATATTTATTATTATCGTGTTACACGAGACAAATTTAGTAATTACCAAGCTTATACTATTAATCGTAATTACACCGCGATAATACGATTGGCCCTTGGAGCATTAAACTCATCAGTCGAGAACAATGCACTTTGCCAATTACGCTGTTCCATAGAAATTAAGTGCGTTTCAATGGAGATGCGTGTGGGCGTCTCGATTATCGTGGTTCACGATAGCATTTTTCGCGTCGCGCTCCGAGAGTTGAAACGCGCTCTAATTCGATTTGCCGCAAAAGGTTGCATCATATGCGCGGCGTGCGTGCACATAAATTACAGAATAATTTCCTAGCCGAGAGCAGAGGCCGCGACATGACCAGCTAAAGAACTTTTTAGGTTCGCTCCAACGCACGAAATCGCTCGTGAACGCGAGCGAAAGTGTATTATGTCTCCGCTGCGATTATCAAAGTATGATTCTGACACGTTTTTATCTGCGGGATAAATTTAATGACAAAATAATAATCTCGTTGTTCGTGCGCAATAAATTAATTTTACGAATGTAATAAACGCTACATACATATATTTAAGAATATCATTTAGTTTATATACAAATTGCCATTAATTCGACATAATAGTTAATATTTTTTGATAATCTTTTTATTTCAATTTAGAATAGTTTTGGCATACACAATCGGCTAGTATTTGACTAGCAATTTTTAATTAATTGGCCAAATGCCACAGGTGCTTCACTTTATAATGTCTGGCTCGCAGCCATACTTGTGCCGAACTGCAACTTGTGTCTCCTTCCTCGTTTGAAATAAATTATCGAAATTCGTACGCGCGTTGAACACCTGTGGCACTTACTTAGCGCGCTCGATTGTGCCGAAACTATTACATCGCGTCTTTACTTCACTCATACCAATCGGCGTACTAATTTTAATTCTAGACCGGCGATGATACGATTATCGTGCTCCAGATACTTCGCGTTTATCCTATTTCGGGCGCGCGTCGCAGTCGATATCGCTGAAAATTGTATACGCGCGCGTTACTCTATTTCCAACTCCTCCAATCGCTGGCGCAATTTATTTTTAGTTAACTCCCTAAACGCGGTTCGTTCTCTCGCTAAGCTAACGACAGGTCTATTTCGGTTCACGATATTCTACTCGTGTTCGTGATGAACGCCGGTGGCGGCGACGGGGTTCTTTAAAGTGTCAAAATGGTTGTTTGTTGTCGATAAGATTAAACGTGTTTATGAGATCGTACGGTTGAACTTTGCCATCCGCTCCGTATCTTACACGCCTTTCTTTTTTTCAGCGAAATATTTTTCACACTAATAACAATAATGCGAGAAGAAGTGAACGTGAGGAAGCTAATAATGGCGCTTATTGCGATTACGCGAGAGATTAGACAATAATTTTGTAATTGGATTATAACTTACATATATGATCTTTATCGGATAGAAAATTACTCTGATAAAACTTAATTAATTGATAAAACTTATACTTGATATTTGTTTTTTATAAAAAGAACTTATTTTAATTTTATTTCAATTTTTAATTTTATTTTCATGAAAAAAAATATATATATTTGAATATACATATTCTTGGATCAGAGAATATATTTCTGTTTTGCCAAAGCTAATTTTCAATTGTCTGTATGAAAACGATTCGTATTAATACGCTGTTCTATAATAATATATGCCAGTTAAATACGTCATTACAGGTCGTAATTTCATTGTTTACCCGCATCTTAATAAAGGAATTCGTGACCTCCTTGAGAATTCCTCGCGTGACAAAGCGCCGTATAATGTCGCGTTAACTCCCATAATTTTTCCGACATTATGTCACATTTACCGTTGTAATCTACGATAAAAATGCGGGCGGGAAATTGCCGAGTCGCTGACGGTGGACGGATGTTATTGAACGTATAAGACGAAGGACTTGTCGAGACGCGACGAAGGACATTATATATTCAAGTCAGGATATTTACGGTCCTTAATCTCGGATGATAATCTTAAATGGCGTATTCTTTCGTCGCGCCGCCACTGACGTCTCTTTATTTTTTTTTTCGTGCTTCAGGTAACGCGTCGTCTGTGGAGCAGAAGAACGGAAATGGCAACGTCAAGGGTAACAAGACGAACAACAACGGTGTCGAGGTGAACAGAAACGAGGACCAAAATGGTGGCGTCGATGCCAAGGGACAAGCAAAGAAGAAACCGACCGCGCCTGGGGGCGGGCCTTTATTACAACAGACGTAAGAATTATTTTAAAAAATTACTTCGCAGAGATTAACATTTAATCCGAAACTATAGTAGATTTTTCTCGATTAAACGTTTTGAATTTATTTAAATTTATTTATGAATCATATATTACATTCAGATTTTTTATGGCAGAGTGACTACAGGTGACTTGGTAAAGATCATTAATAGAATTCGTATTTTGTATTTGTCTCAACGGAACGCGATATTGAGAGAACCTTGTTTAGAACTTAACACTTAATTCAGATAAATTGACATTAGCACGGAGAAGTTTAAACCGTTCGCTATAATTATATAACTACAAGCATTTGCTACAGACTTGCACATATTTGCACACGGAAAGCTTATTTTGAGAGAGCGCGTATGTAATTCGAGTTTCGAAAGCTTCGTCAAAAATGTAGTATTAATATATGCCCTTGTTTAAACTTCTTACAATTCAAAATCTTGCTAGAGAAACTGTTAGTCGTCTACTAAAGTACATGTTGTTACGTAAGTAATAGCTATATATATGACGGCAGTTGTCAAAACAACATGCACTGAAAGTTATATGTACACTTGTTGTTGATATTCTAAACCGCTTCTCCTGCAAAAAGCTTGAGCAGTCGTGTTAATTATTACAGTTTAGCTTTCGCCCCAAGCGTGTGCGTAATTGGTAATTTATTAAAGGAATTATATATAGGGGAACCCCTAGCGAATCGGAAATTAAGATACTTTTTAACAATGTGTATATTTTTTTAAGCAAATAGACACATGCTTTTTTTGTTAAAAATTATACATTTTCCATAATAAAATTAAAAATTGTGCAAAAAAAAAAAAATGATTAAAACAGAAGATGAAAAAATAAGTATTTTTTTATTTTTCCAAAAATATTTTATTTTTTCCGCTAGATTCCTATAGTATAATTCTTAATATAATTTACATACGTCTACTTGTTAATACATCGCGATAAGTAGTCTTATAGCTATACACAGCTTACGTTTGCTTATTACCGCCAAGATTATACTTGGTACAAATAATTTATCGCATATGATTGACCTTCCTGCGTATTGTGAATTTTTCAGAGAGATATCCACCAGCCAGCTTGATTTCTTCAAGATGCTCGACGAGAAAATTGAGAACGTAAGTCGCGATACTTGAACTTGATCAATCTCATCCGGATAGAAATGGTTTCTATTTATGGGAATACTAGTAATTTCCTGTTTCCTTCTTCAATCTCTTCTCTCGAAGAACAATATAAGCCGATTTTGTAGGAAATCTAGAGATAACTATCTCCGCGATATTATATGTCTCGTAGAAGAATACGTCCGTTACAATATTTTTATATTACTTTCCTATCTTCATAATGCAATATGAAAAAAAAAAA